ACTTCACACTTCACACTTCACGCTTCGCACTTCGCACTCCACACTTCACAGTCCACACTTCACACTTCTCACTTCACACTTCTCACTTCTCACTGCTTCCTTCACACTCCAAACTTCACACTTCACACTTCACACTTCTCACTTTGCACTTCACACTCCACACTTCACACTTCTCACTTCTCACTGCTTCCTTCACACTCCTAACTTCACACTTCTCACTTCGCACTTCACACTCCACACTTCACAGTCCACACTTCACACTTCTCACTTCTCACTGCTTCCTTCCCACTCCAAACTTCACACTCCAAACTTCACACTTCACACTTCTCACTTCGCACTTCACGCTCCACACTTCACTCACACTTCACACTTCACAGTCCACACTTCACACTTCTCACTGCTTCCTTCACACTCCAAACCTCACACTTCACACTTCACACTGCGCTCTTCGCACTCCAAACTTAAACTTCACACTCCACACTTCTCACTTCCCACTGCTTCCTTCACACTGCACACTTCACACTGCACTCTTCACGCCCCACACTTCACACTGCTCTAAACCTACGTGCAACAAAAAAAACTAGCGCCAAAATGGAGAAAATCTGCTAACAAATCCATGTCGCAGCCTTCATGCAGCCACTCCAATACGATTTACGAGATCGAGCTGCAAAAGACAATAGTATGACAAATGCAGCCACAGCACGAAGCAACCTTGACGCAGCCATTACAATGCGATCTGCAGAGGCTGAGTTGCAAAACACAATAGAACTACGCGCAACGGCGTCGGAAATTGTAGCTCCAAAACCGGATCTCGACGCCAGAGCGAGAAAAAGGCGATTTTGAAGCATTTTCTAAAAGGATGTTTAGAAGGAAAATTAAGAGCGCCAAAATGGAGAAAATCTGCTGACAAATCATTGTCGCAGCCTTCATGCAGCCACTCCAATACGATTTACGAGATCGAGCTGCAAAAGACAATAGTATGACAAATGCAGCCACAGCACGAAGCAACCTTGACGCAGCCATTACAATGCGATCTGCAGAGACTGAGTTGCAAAACACAATAGAACTACGCGCAACGGCGTCGGAAATTGTAGCTCCAAAACCGGATCTCGACGCCAGAGCGAAAAAAATACGATTTTGAAGCACTTTTTAAAAGGATTTTTAGAAGGAAAATCACTAGCGCCAAAATGGAGAAAATCTGCTGACAAATCACTGTCGCCGCCTTCATGCAGCCACTCCAATACGATTTACGAAGTCCAGCTGCAAAAGACAATAGTATTACGTATGCAGCCAAAGCAGGAAGCAACCTTGCAATCCCATTTACATTGCGGGAAGGATACTACAGTTGCAAATCACAATGGAATTCCATTGGCAACTCATCTACCAGCGCCACTTGCAATCCCATTTACATTGCGGGAACGATCCTACAGTTGCAATTCACAATGGAATTCTGTCGACCGCACATAGACGAAACACAGTTGAAACCCCATTTACAATGCGGAACCGATCCGAGACCGATCCGACCATGATCCGACCATGATCCGAGGATGATCCGACCACACACGAGACCGTCTCGCACCCGTCGCACCGCAGAGGTAGATCATCGAGGTTCGGGGACGGACTTTGTATGGAAAACCATAGGGTTTCGTGCATCTGCTATCTCTCAAAAACGCATTTCGTGCGAGACTTCCTTCAAAACTCCATCGGCAACTCCTCCACCAGCACCACTTGCAATGCCATTTGCATTGCGGGAACGATCCTACAGTTGCAAATCACAATGGAATTCTGTCGACCGCACATGCACGAAAAACAGTTGAAACCCCATTTACAATGCGGAACCGATCCGAGCATGATCCGACCATGATCCGAGACCGATCCGACCATGATCCGACCACACACGAGACCGTCTCGCACCCGTCGCACCGCAGAGGTAGATCATCGAGGTTCGGGGACAGACTTTGTATGGAAAAACATAGGGTTTCCTGCATCTGCTATCTCTCAAAAACGCATTTCGTGCGAGACTTCCTCCAAAACTCCATCGGCAACTCATCCACCAGCACCACTTGCAACCCCATTTACTATGCGGGAACGATCCTACAGTTGCAAATCACAATGGAATTCTGTCGACCACACATGCACGAAAAACAGTTGAAACCCCATTTACAATGCGGAACCGATCCGAGACCGATCCGAGACCAATCCGAGGATGATCCGAGGATGATCCGACCACACACGAGACCGTCTCGCACCCGTCGCACAGCAGAGGTAGATCATCGACGTTCGGGGACGCACTTTGTATGGAAAAACATAGGCTTTCGTGCATCTGCTATCTCTCAAAAACGCATTTCGTGCGAGACTTCCTTCAAAACTCCATCGGCAACTCATCCGGCAGCACCACTTGCAATCCCATTTGCATTGCGGGAACAATCAATGCCCTAACTAACTCTTGCTTTAACTAACCCTTTCCCTGACGAACCTTCGACGAACTCTTTCTTCGACGAACTCTTTCTTTGATTAACTGTTTCTTTGACTAACTGTTTCTTTGACTACCTGTTTCTTCGACGAACTCTTTCTTCGACGAACTCTTTCTTTGACTAACTCTTTCTTTGACTAACTCTTTCTTTGACTAACTCTTTCTTTGACTAACTCTTTCTTTGACTAACTCTTTCTTTGACTAACTCTTTCTTTGACGAACTGTTTCTTTGACTAACTCTTTCTTTGACTAACTCTTTCTTTGACTAACTCTTTCTTTGACTAACTCTTTCCCTGACTAACTGTTTCTTTGACTAACTCTTTCTTTGACTAACTCTTTCTTTGACTAACTCTTTCTTTGACTAACTGTTCTTTGACTAACTCTTTCTTTGACTAACTCTTTCTTTGACTAACTGTTTCTTTGACGAACTCTTTCTTTGACTAACTCTTTCTTTGACTAACTGTTTCTTTGACTAACTGTTTCTTTGAGTAACTCTTTCTTTGACTAACTGTTTCTTTGACTAACTCTTTCTTTGACTAACTGTTTCTTTGACTAACTCTTTCTTTGACTAACTCTTTCTTTGACTAACTCTTTCTTTGACTAACTCTTTCTTTGACTAACTCTTTCTTTGACTAACTCTTTCTTTGACTAACTGTTTCTTTGACTAACTGTTTCTTTGACGAACTCTTTCTTTGACTAACTCTTTCTTTGACTAACTGTTTCTTTGACTAACTGTTTCTTTGACTAACTCTTTCTTTGACTAACTGTTTCTTTGACTAACTCTTTCTTTGACTATCTGTTTCTTTGACTAACTCTTTCTTTGCCTAACTCTTTCTTTGACTAACTCTGTCTTTGACTAACTCTTTCCCTGACTAACTGTTTCTTTGACTAACTCTTTCTTTGACTAACTCTTTCTTTGACTAACTCTTTCTTTGACTAACTGTTTCTTTGACTAACTCTTTCTTTGACTAACTCTTTCTTTGACTAACTCTTTCCCTGACATTCTAAAAGTCCGTAACACGGAAGTTTCTCCCACTAAACTTCCTTTGACCATATACCAATGGGATATACCATACATATACCATTTTCCTGTTCAACAGGGGTACAGGGTTTTAACCCAGACTCATATGATGAGGGCATGGAGAAAACACCACGTAACAAACCACAGCTGTGTCCCAAGGTGACTTGAAGTACTGTACATGAATGACCTGTACTACTTGGATGTTGAGGCAGGAAGGTGGGGGAGCCATGTCAGTTGGCTGATCCATCTGGTCCCCCCAAAACACTGTGAAATGGGTATTTCCTATGGTGGTACCCCAAAAGTCAGCTGGTTTCCCTACTAAATCCAACATGAAGGGTACCCAACCATGGAAATCCCCCCAAATCCATCCCCAAAATCCTGGGTTTATGACCACTGCTGGATGGTTTGGCTGCCCTCAGGTCAGGGCTTGGCAGCCAGTGACTGCTGACAGTGCCCCAGCTGCGCGACACAGCCACAGCGCGGTCCTCGACGCGCAGCGGATGTGGGTTTTTGGAGGTCATGTTGGTCAGGGCCCCAGAAGCCAACACAGCTGATGGCTTCACCCACTGTTGGTGGTGATCGTTGAGGTTTTCTCACCGACCTCAACGATTTGCACTACTTTCATGTTGAGGCGAGGTTCTTGGGAAGGTAAAAGGGTGTCCGTGTGCGAATTCAGATATCTTAGTCCGTTATAACTTTCAATAACTTGTGTAGGTTTGACATCAAATAGTTTCAAATGTCATGGCGAGTCATACCATATCTAGAGTAATCCACTGAGTGGTCCACTGGATATGTCCACAGTGGTGACAGCGACAGTGACATGCAGTGACGCAGCAAAGGATCAGTTGTTTCGTTCAGGTGAGAGATTGGTGGTTAAGATCCACACCATTTCCCACATCCATGCAGCTACAATTTTTGCTTCATGGACTCGCCTAGCACCTGATTCTTTTTTGAAGCTTCCATTCCAGAAATTGACTCAAACCCATAGAAAATGCCACCGCCACAGTTTGTTGCCGCCTTTCCACCTTCATTGAATGTTGGTTTGGCATCTAGCCAATTTTGGTAGTAATTGGTATTGACCCATGACCATATATACCATTACATACCATCATTATACATCATACCTTTGATTAACCATCAAACCATTACATATAAATCATATACCATCATTATCCATTAATGGTTACCATGAATGTTATGGATTATCTATGATCGAATGTTGTTCGTCTCTGGCAACCTTAAATTCTGTTCATCAGGCGAGGCATTGGCACCCAGTGGCGGCCGCCAACGCATGCATCTGCGAAAACCAGATGATTCGAGGTCGGCTCATGGCAACTGGTCATAGCAACAGTATGATTTTAAGCAGTTATGAGAACGCAGATTGGCCAACCAGTGCAATTCCTTTGGGGCTTTGGCATTGCTTCTAGAGCCTATAGAGTGACTTCTCAAGGTGACTTTGACAGTTGCAACTCTGAGTTTCCAAAGTTGTCCCGATTTCCAGCTTCAAGTGCTTTCACAAGTGCTCTCACGAGTTCTCTCACAAGTGCTCTAACGTGCCGCCATGGTCAAGTCGCTCGTGGCCTTGGCATTTGTCGCTCTCAATTTGGCGATCTGTGCCTTCCTCCAGGGCTGTGGTTCGGAGACCACCGCAGCGGCCCCCGTGGCAGCAGCTACTACCTGCGACATGACCGCGGTGGCAAGCTGTGCGCAGACGGCGAGTACAAGCTCAACGGACCCCTGTCAGATCTCCTCGGCCACAATCGAATGCTATTCCAGCTGCTGCACATATGCTGAAGCGCAAACAGCCCTGGATGCAGCTGTCTCTGCTGCAGCAGCAATTCCGAATTGCAATCTTGTGAGCCCCTGTGCCTGAGCGACCAAGAGTGAGATGCCAGTGAAAGGAGCATGATTTTTCCCGGATGGTTTGCCTGCCTTCTTGCTTTGTAATCAATCGATTTACACACCGTGGATAAATCATTTCACCATTCATGATCATTCATGTATATATATATAGTTTATTATCCCTCTTGCTTTGTTGGCTTCGTTGATTGCTCTTTGATTTTTCTTTCACCGGGCGAGCACCGGGCCACCAAAAGTCAGAGCGCATTAACATGCAGGAACTGAACTGGTGGCGTAATTAATAGCCTAGCTCCCGACCCAGCACCTGAGCCAAAACGGATTGGATGTACAGCCGCCTTGATTGGATGTACTGCGAGCAGAAAGGTTGAAATCTGTGAGGCTGCCAGCGGCTGCCAGGCTGAGTTTGGCATCTTGCGGGTTGTTGTGAAGTGAAGTCAATTTGTCACGTCCTTGACGTGGGCGGCCAGGTGGACGGGCGCCGCGGCGCGGCCAGTGATCAGTCTGAGCAGCCGCTTAGCGATTGTGGTCGCTTGGACTCGAGGTTTGGCACCTTGTGGTACCATTGATTCTGTCGGATTGATCAACGAGTATTTGGATGTATTTGGGGGTTTACTGATGGATTTTTGAGTGAACACGGTCTGTTTTTTGCGGGAGATTCTCATAAAACCTCTCTGCTTTGCAAATCACACAGGCTCCTAACACGGTCATGGCAATTACTTCGCTCTGGCGGGTTGATCCTTTCTTTTTTGGACACAAGCGGAAACTCGAGAAGCGTCAGCAGCGCATGTTTGTATATCAAAAATGGTGATAATGATGATAATGTTTATTGTTATAATGGTTATCATATATAGTTAATATTGTTAATGGTATAATATTAATGGTTCGTTAAATGAATTCTTAATGGCATTACCCTTTTTAATGGTGACTATTCTTAGTATCATTGTGGTTTTTCATTGTTTTTTATTATTTATTATTCATGATTGGTTGATCAATTCACAAAAATGTTTACTGATGGTATATCATGAATCCGTCATGGGGGATGGTTCGTAATTCACTATGATTCCATGATTGCTAATCACCATAACATTAAATTATACCGTTTACAAATGTTGATTAATAACCATAACTTAAGGATACTTAAGGTATTTTATATTTTCTGGTTATTTCTCATTGATTTGATTCATGGTTACTATTATTTTGCATTTTTGATAGTCATTATTCTACACCATATGATGGTATATCATCACTATATGACAGATATAATTATATATATATTACTATGTACAGGAATAATATGTATAATTATATCCATACCATATATTACTTCATATACATATTCATCATTATTGTATTATCAGGAATCCATAGATATGATTCGGTTTCTTCATCACTCTCAGTCTTTCAGGTCGCCCTGAGAATGACTTGCACTATTTCGATGTTGAGGCGTCGCCTCCGGCTCCTTGTTTCGCTGGGCTGCTTGGTGCGGCAGTGACCATGGGATGTTTCACACCACCTAACTGTTGTGTTTTTATGGGGAAGAGTTCTTGGAGGGTTTGATCATTGGTTATGGTCAAAAGATGTCAAAAACATATTCATTTTCACCTCCAGTTGTTTTTTGCGGCTGTTTCTAAGTTCCTCCTGTGAAACTTGAGGTTTGTGAGCAGTTCGGCTTTCCACCAACGGTATTTTTCAACTCCAGATTTGTTGGAAGACATTTGCTTTGTTCAGACCAATCATTTCCAGAATTCCGACGTGTGCCAACAAAACCTGTAGTGTCAACATCCACACGCAGTGACTTGGTGCAGACGGAGGAACCATTTTTCAGATCACCGACAGCTGGTCTACAATCTCCTTGTCTGCTGTACACTAGATTAACCCTCAGCGACATCCATTGATCGTTTCTTGCATGTTGATTTGGCCTTTGTTCTGCTAAACATTTTTTTAAGTATAATCAATATGGTTGTATGATGACTAATCGATGGTTCTTGTTATAATCATTTTTTCTGACAATAACCACAGATTGACCATGATATAACCATCATATAACCATCATATAGCATAGATAAGACCAGATAAGATCATCATGGGCTATAAGAATAGCCATGGCTGGCCATGTCATGGTTATAACCTCCAGTTTTTCAGCTTGCCATGCCAGAAATCGCCAGGCCAAGACACGGCACCCGGTGGCGCAGTCGCGGCCCGGATGCATGGTGATTGTATGCTATATGACCTATATGAGCCATGGTCAGTTCACTGGGTAGCCGTTATGAACCATGACATGAAAGATATGAAAGGGGATGGTCATCCAATGGTTAAGGGTGGGATTTATATGGATTTATATGGATTTATAGAATAACCATTATTTTGGGGGTCCCGAGTATGGGTGGGATGACCAGCTCGCCACTATTAGACTATGGGGAGTTTTGACCATGGCACATATTAGGGTATTTCCATCAATGGGGGCTCCCTAATCATCCACCAAAAAGGACGATTTTATGAGGTAAATCAATGGTGGGTACCCCCATTTTAGAATACCCATGTATAATCATGTATATATATATAATTATACATATATATATATTTATTTATTTATTGGGATATACCAGATATATACCATTATCATCCATTATCCCAATGTTGGTATATTATATACATACCATTATATTGTATGGTATACCCACATTGGGATAATACGAATGCTAAATCATTGCCGCCCAGTTCCAAGGTATTAACGGTCGTAGTGACGACAAGAATGAGTTGCGCTACTTCGATGTGGAGGCAATGCTGTCAGCATCGTTTGATGGGCACAATCTCATCATAGTAAGCCTTTATATATCATTGAGCACCCATTCTATATGGGATTTTCATGAATTTACCATAATTCATCACTGGTGTAAAACAACTATTAGTATAAACCACTAGTACACACCAAATAAGGATCCTTATTATATATAAATATAAATAAATATATATATATATATTTTTTGGATCATATCCTTATTATCAACCTTATTTGCACACATATATGTATATATATATATACATATATATATACATTATATAATATATACATTATACATATATACATTATACATATATACATTATATATATATATATATACACACTTTATATATAATACATATAATGTATATATATATAATATAAATACATTATATATGAATATATCTATATTATATATATTGTATAAGGATGGTAAACCAAAAAAAACAACCATCTTACTTTCCAATAGTTCAGGCACAGATCTGGCACCGGGTCGCGGCCGGCAATGCTCCATCCCAACGGAGTGGCCACAGTGCCGTGCTGGACGCCCAGCAGCGGATGTGACATCCGCTGCTGGGCGTCCAGCACGGCACTGTGGGTCTGCGGAGGCAAAACTTACTCCAGCCGCGGCCCCAGAGACAACTGTGGCACAGTCTTAGGTATAATGATGGTATAATCATAGTATAAGGTTAGTATATAATATTGGTACATATTATGATCAGAACAATGATAGTTAACGGTATAAGGATAATGATTTGATGGTATAATGATGGTTAACCAATGGTATAAGGATAGTATATATTATTGGTATATATTATGGTCATAACAATGAGAATGATACTAGTGATAATACGAATGATAATAGTAATGAATATAGCCCTGATTTACAATGGTCACTTGATGGGATGGTGGCTATGGTGTAAACCCCATTACACCAAGCTGTTGGTTTTAAGGTCGCCTCCTGAATGACTTGCACTACTTTGATGTCAAGGCATTGGGGGCAACGAATCGTTTGGTCAAAAGATATGTGGCCCGGATGAGGATTGATTTTGGTCACAGATTCGAGGAGCGTGTTGGGCTTGGAATTGCAAACTTCGCTGTTGGGGTTCATGAACTTAAATTGTGGCGGCTGCTGAGAAGCTTTGGGGATTGTTGTTTTGCCACCCAAAAGTAGTTGAAGAAGTTCTACTGTAAGCATGTCAAGGCTTCCAAAACATGCCAGACGCACAAAATCGTGCAGATTTCTAACATGTTTTGTCCATCCTGTTGATTTGATATTTTTCCAACTTCTCGTGACTTGTTCTTCTCGTGCCCCAGCACCATTACTTGTTCCTTGCAGCAACGTCAGGCTGGAGCTTGGCAGCCAGTCACTGCTGACAATGTCCCAGCTGCCCGGCACGGCCACACTGCGGTGCTGGACGCCAAGCAGCGGATGTGGGTCTTCGGTGGTTCGAACGGCGCCCCGGAAGTTAAAGCAGCACGTTGTGGTGCACATATTTCCATGGGATATAGGGTAAGTGAACATCCCAATAGAGGCTATTCCTTTTATTTGGATATACCATATATATATATATATACCATGATCCCAATCTTGGTATAATATTAGCATTATACCATATACCAATGGGATATACCATACATATACCATTTCCTGTTCAACAGGGGTACAGGGTTTTAACCCAGACTCATATGATGAGGGCATGGAGAAAACACCACGTAACAAACCACAGCTGTGTCCCAAGGTGACTTGAAGTACTGTACTTGAATGACCTGTACTACTTGGATGTTGAGGCAGCAAGGTGGGGGAGCCATGTCAGTTGGCTGATCCATCTGGTCCCCCCAAAACACGGTGAAATGGGTATTTCCTATGGTGGTACCCCAAAAGTCAGCTGGTTTCCCTACTAAATCCAACCATTTTGGGTTATGAAGGGTACCCAACCATGGAAATACCCCCAAATCCATCCCCAAAATCCTGGGTTTATGACCACTGCTGGATGGTTTGGCTGCCCTCAGGCCAGGGCTTGGCAGCCAGTGACTGCTGACAATGCCCCAGCTGCGCGACACAGCCACAGCGCGGTCCTCGACGCGCAGCGGATGTGGGTTTTTGGAGGTCATGTTGGTCAGGGCCCCAGAAGCCAACACAGCTGATGGCTTCACCCACTGTTGGTGGTGATCGTTGAGGTTTTCTCACCGACCTCAACGATTTGCACTACTTTCATGTTGAGGCGAGGTTCTTGGGAAGGTAAAAGTGTGTCCGTGTGCGAATTCAGATAATATCTTAGTCCGTTATAACTTTCAATATTGTGTAGGTTTGACATCAAATAGTTTCAAATGTCATGGCGAGTCATACCATATCTAGAGTAGTCCACTGAGTGGTCCACTGGATATGTCCACAGTGGTGACAGAGACAGTGACATGCAGTGACGCAGCAAAGGATAAGTTGTTTCGTTCAGGTGAGAGATTGGTGGTTAAGATCCACACCATTTCCCACATCCATGCAGCTACAATTTTTGCTTCATGGACTCGCCTAGCACCTGATTATTTTTTGAAGCTTCCATTCCAGAAATTGACTCAACCCCATAGAAAAT